TCACAAAAGACGAATTCTACTCCATGGAAGAATGCTTCCTTTTACTTTTTGTTGCTGTTTCACAGTTTGCGATTTTTCAGATCTTTTTTTTTCCTTTATAGCTATAAATAGCCCCTATAGCTGTGCCCCAAGGAAGCAATTATGTCAAATATAAACAACAAATATTTTCAGCTGCCCCCTGCTGCTCACTGTGGACCCTTAAGTCTGCCGGTGATTGTCATAGGCGGAACCATGTATCTCCTGCTCCTCCATCATTCCAACTCTGGACATCCTATTATTTTCCAAAGACAACACAAGAGACTCCAATGCAACCAGTGAAACCAAGGTGGTCTGTCCCCACCTGCTCAGCACAGAAAGGGGCAGAGCAGACTCAAAGGAGGGCCCAGGACATCCAGGTATTGCTTGCCATCAGATCCACCACTGCCTGCCATGGGACAGAGGTAGACAGCCACTGTCCCCAGGCCCTATTGCCTCTCTCAGTTCTTAGCAGGAAAGCAGGGGGTGTGATGGGACAAGAGTCCAGGAGGCTTCTTCAAATCAGAAAGTTCCAGAGACCTACTAAATCCTAGACACCATGTTCAAGCGGCAGGACAAAACAGTTGAAGCGGGAAGAGCCTAATATCATGTATGGGGTGCTCACATGTGCCAGGTGCTATGCCGATTCAGCACCACAATTAATTCCACAACGCCCCTATGAAGTAGGCCTAGTACGAGACTTTACCATTTTAAACAACAATGTTCCCAAGGACACAGAATTGGTGAGTTCTGGAACTCAGATCCAAAAGCACATACGTGGTTCCAGCATCCACATAATCACTGTCCCCCACTGTCCCAGAAAAGATGAAAAGCAGCCATCAAGTGGGAAAGGTGACCTGGCCTGCTGGCCTCATGGAGTTGTTGTGAAGGAAATATACATTTGTAAGTCCTTTGGTAAGATTAAAGTGATACACGAATGTGAGCTAGATTTGTTATAATCATGTCTATCTGGGTTAAAGGGTAGGATCTGGAACTCCTCACCCCTTTTCCCACATTCTCCTCTTCTCCTGTGAATTTTGATGCACTTATCCCTTGGACCTTAAATGATATTTTCTTTCCTCTTACTCCCTATGATTTTAATGAAAAAAATTGTTTTAAAAAATTTGAATGCACTCATGTTAATCATAGAACTAATCAGAAGGTTTTAGAAGAAATGTGGATCAAGTTATCACAAATGTATATATTAATCCCTTAGAATATTAACTAATTGTCTTTTTCTTTCTGCTAACTATAACAATAAAGACTTCCAGAGCCCTGTGTGCTATTTTTGAAGAAAACGGTAACTGAGAAATAAACAGAAGGATATCATTGTCATATGTATCATATTCTATCTACACAAAATAAAAATTTATATACTGGTACCTCCTGTTCCAGAGAATGAACTCTGCCACACTGTAACTACAGCTACATCCCGAATTAATTAGCTCTGCATACTGAGGCCAGGAAACACTGACCCTCAGAACCTGATTAAATTTTGAAAATGCTCACTTCATTAACTGTTCAAAATATTCCCTCATTAAAGCTTTGGTAAGAGGAGAAAATAAGTGGCAAACCCATTATATTTAACTCCATCTCTTCTTCAGACACATGCCCAGAACTTTGGGGAAGGGGTTAACAAGCTTGGCGTATAGAGAGGCTGAAGAAAAAGAGAAGATCTGGTTGAGACCAAAGTACCACGATGAATTGCTGAATAGACAGGGGCTGTCTGTCCCAAAATAATACTACGCTAGATCACCAGAGAAGATTACCTGTTTTGCTCTTCATTGTAATATTGTATTGAATTTTAAAAAGCACACTATTATAATGTAAACAGCCCTGACTTTATGTAGCAAATCCTTCTCAATAACCATGTATGAATAACTATGGAAATAAGCCACCAGGTAGCAATTTGCTAAAACAGTGGCTCCACTGTCCTATGGATAATTAATCTCTGGTTCATCTGGACCTTAAATTCAGGTTGTTATCATTGTACTCGCATTAACGAGACATACTGAAAATGAGACAATCACTAAACACTATATGCTATCCAGTCTATCTCTGGAAAAATAAAAGCCAACAATATCACCATATTTGGAGGTAAATCACACTTTATATCTCTTCAGGAATGAGGTTTCAGACTTGTCACACTCTGATATTCAGCAGCAGCTACACCAAAACATCCAGAAAGTGATGACAGCCCTGAAGCTCAGGAGAATGATCACATCACCTTTCTTCCCATAGTCCTGCACCTTCAAGGCACTTATCAATCTGGTGTCTCTCTTAGTCTCACAAAAGGCTGCCAGGTAGACTTGCCTACTTTGGCAGGTGTCACTGCTCAATGGACAGATGCAGCACCTGAGGCCCCGGAGCTGAAGTAACTGGTTTCAAGTCACAAGAGTAAGTAGGAACAGTGCCTGCAGGGCTGTCCTGTCTCTGGATACTCTCACTACCACCTCCTTTAATGGTTAGAGTTTAACCATACCTGAAGGGATGGGCTCTTGGGTTCTGCTATTTTCAATGACCAGCTCTGGCCACTCCTTAGGAACTGAAAACCCATTTATCTTCTATAAACCCAGGTCCAGAGTCCTAGGTCCTGCAAAAGTGATGAGGCCCCCTTGATGGGACCAGACAGGGTCTCCAGTCCACATTAGAGTTCTGACTCTAGGACACAGAAGTTGACAGGTCAACTCCATGTTACTGCTGGACCCTTCCCCAAAACTCCTCTGGCCTGGGAGTTAGAAGACCCAGCATCTATCCCCAGCTCCAGCTAACTTGCTTGAGAAGAACTTAATCTATCTGGGTCTCACCTTCCTTGTCTGTAAAATTAAGGCTGGTTTAAATGATCTCAAAGGCTCTTCTATCTCCAAAACTCTACTCTACCCCTAAGCTGGATATCCATCACTTTGTCTAAAAGCTGAATCCAAGAATTCTCAACATCAGAACAACTCTTTCACAGCCTATTCCATGGTTTTCTTTTAATTTCATCCCTTTCTCTTACTTGTGCCACTTGGTATCATTCTCTTCACTCCTCTCTGCTTTTGCTGTCCAGTATTTGTAAGTTATTTTCACATCCCTCTGAGCTATCATTTAACCATCATACAGTAAATCCTTTCCGCAACTTATTATTTTTTGTGTCTTTTTTTTTCTCACCAAATCCCCACCCATCGAGCTAGTTACATGATCGTCAAATTTTAAACAACATTTCTCTAAAGGTCACTCTTTTTAAAGAAAACTTTTCTCTTGATTCTTCATACCTCTACTGATTTCCAACTGCAGATTTGAAAGCTACTGATTTCCAAAATATGTAGGCATGTCCACATTTCCTTTGCCCTATTTTGACAAGTTTGGTTTTCTTCTTTATTTCTGCCTTTCATTTTTGTTTTCCTTTCCTTTGTAAGTCTAGGTTTCATCTTCACTCCTGCCACCACCTTCAATGAACCATCCACAGGAAAACAGAGCACAGGGTACCATCCAAAAATATGTGATCATGTAGCTACAGAACAGTGCCATGGAGGAGGGAAGAAAGCACTGAGCATAAACCACTCTGCCAGCATGTGAATGGGGCAGCTCTGGGCTTGGCACCTCTGCACTCCCATTTTAAAGCCCTATCTTTTCCCAGAAAGAAACACATTAGTGTGTGTCCAGAAGGAAAAATGCTAAAGCAATGAGGGAGCCAGAGCAGCTGGGGGTTGTTAACGTGAATCAAAGTCCAGCCAGGATTTTTTTTTAAGCAACAGGAAGTAGATTCATTCTCTTTCATATTCTCTCTGTCTCTCTCTGTCTCTCTGTCCTCTGTCTCTCTCTCTCTCTTACACACACACACACACACACACACTCTCTCTCTCTCTCTCTCTCTCTCTCTCTCTCTCTCTCTCTTCTTCTCCATCCTTCTTCATTTCCTCTGGCCAAGGCACAGAAACAAGCTGGACAGAAAACCTCAGTTGCCTTGAACTATCTTTGGAACTTTGCAATGTTTACTGGCAGTTCAAAGCCAAATTGCAGGGTATGAAAAGCACAGTCAAAGCGAAGAGCCCCCGTGTGCAGCAGACTAGGAGGCAGAGGAACATGTATTATTTCCCCACGGCTGCTTCAACAGATTACCACAAATGTGGTAGTTTAGAACACAAAATTTTTCTTTTACAATTTTACAGGCCACAAGTCTGAAATCAGCTTCAGCTGACTGAAATCATATATTGGCAGGGTTGTACTCTCTCCAGAGGCTCTGAGCAGAGAATCCACTTCCTTGCCTTTTTCAGCATCTAGTGGCTACCTGTGTTCCTTGGTGGATGGCACCATCCTCCACCTTTAGACATGTCACTTCAGTCTCTGCTTTCATCATCATATTGCCTTCTCCTCGAGGCAGTCAGCTCTCCCTCTCCATCTCTCTTATAAGAACACCTGTGATTGCATTTAGAGCCCACCCAGGTAACCCAGGATAACTCCCCATCTCAAGCTCTTTAACTTCATCATGTCTGCAAAGCACTTTCTACCATACAAGGTAATATTCAAGTCCCAAGGATTATAGTGTGGACATTTTGGGGGCCCTTATCCAGCCTACCACAGAGCATTTGTGTCTAACTGGGTTTCTAGAAAAAGCCTTCTCACTCTCTACTAATATTGACTGAGTTATGAGCATGGGGTCTGAGGTAAAAAAGAAAGATGTTTTCTAAATATCAAAACAGAGAAATTCTATGTATTTTTGCTCCTGTCATGTTACAGGTTTACTTTCCTCACCATGTTTTGTCTATTAAGCCATCTGGTTTATTGTCAGCAAACCCCACAAGCATCCCAGGCCTAAGCACAGCTTCTGTTCCACTGCCCTCGGCGTGGTGAGAAATCATCCACCTATTATACAGAAACTCAATTTCCCATCAAAATTGGGCCTCAGTGCCACATTTGTTCATGTGTGTCAAAAGTCTGGCAATGGCCTTATTACTGTATCCCAGATCAGTCACGGAGAAGGAAAGAACTTTGTTAGAACTCACCAAACCTCTTGTATCCGAAGGACTGCACCTCCTCCTCCTCTGCAAAGTCGTCTGCAGGAGAAGAAAAGACACGGCATTAACCGGGGTAAGGCCTGGAAGTGCAGGGTCAGTGCGGGACTCATTGGCTGCGATCTCCATATGCTCCTCCCTCCATTCATCACAGTGGCTCTCCTTCTCCTCCTGGAACACACCATGCTGCCTGCGAAAGACCACAGGGTCTTCCTCCAGTTCTTCACGCGACTCCTCCCAATTCAGGTCTCAACTAAACTAAGACATTTTTAAGATGCCTTTCCCAACCCCCACCTAGCCATTGCCTGCCATACCACCTTATTTTAATATTACTTTCTGATATTCTAATCTGGGGGAGTGTGTGTGTGTGTTTGAGAGAGAGAGAGAGAGAGGGAGAGAGAGAGAGAGAGATCATGAGTCCTGTGAGCAGGAACTTCTTCTGTCTTGCTTTAAGAGTAGATCCCTTGTACTTATGATGGTGCCTACCACACAGCAGGGGCTTAATAAATTTTGTTGAATGAATGGCTGAATAATTAACTAGCCAAAGAGTTAATTTATCTTCAAGTGATGGGTGGGGCCTCCAGCTCTTCCATTCAGATGCTGAGCATTGTGTCATCTCTTCTACTAACTGTGGCATCTCAGGAGCCCAGTATGACTCCTGCGATGACAATCAAATCCTTCCCTATTCTCCTTCCATTGGATAACTGGGACTGACAGATGGCTTCCCAGTAAATGCACTTCCAAAGACAGCCTTGTGTGCGAATTCCTAAATTTAAGAGCCATTGTGGAAATGAGAGATGTTACATCAGCCAAGCTTTCTACCAAAGACGCCTAAATCCCCTTTCTAATGTGAACATGATGCAATTCCTTATCATAGCAATAAAGAACATCTCATTTTACAGTCCTACCAGGAGTGGGTTCTGGCAATTAACTGTGCAATTTATGACAACTAAAGGAGTCAAGACCAGGCCTTTCCAGGGAGCCCTAATTATTCTTGAGTTAGTCACCATTACTGCACCCAGCTTTCTCCCTACAAGCAATTCATTTCAAAAGCACTGATTCAGGACTTACTATGAAGTAGAGACTGCAAGGCAGCAGGACTTCAGAAGTGGGGGAGACATGGTCTCTTCCTTCAAGAAGCTGACAGACTTTCAAGAAAGAGAAGCAAGTTGGGGGAAGATAAAGCCTCTGTAATCATCTTTTTAGCTCCCATAGAGGACACAGAGCCTGGCTATTTCTGAACCTTGAAGTGTTATGGAGAAACCAAAGATGTAAGATATGTGTAATACAATGTGGTGAGCCTTAGGACATTAGCTTGTTATGAAGTGCCATGAAAACACATGTAAGAAAGCAATTTCCTCTAATAAGAGAATGGAAAAGTGTGATAGCTTTGTATTTTACCCTTGTTTTCTTATTCAGAGAACAGGGGAGAGATAGTGTTTGGAATCTAGAAAGCCAGGTGTTCATAATTAGTCTTCTGATATCAAGAATTAAAGTTTAGTTCTTTCTACATGGAAGAACATGCTTACAACGAAGAACACAGCACCTTTCTCACTGACTCAGTAATTGGTTAGTTCAACAAATACATATTAATCCCCTACTCTATATGCCTACTTTACTAAATAATTATATCAATGGCTGAGCAACTAGTTCTAGTCTCAGTTAAAGAGAAATCCTTGTCTGCTGCCTCTGCTTAGAAATCCATGCATTTACCTATTCATTCAGTAAATGCGTACAGCCTAGGGGAGTTGATGAGACGTGATTATAGGTAACAATGCCACCCAGTCGTTAGCTTCCCCTGCCAGCTCCAGTCCTTTCTCTCCTGTGCCAAGTTTGCATAAGAATCTACTCACATGCAAATGTTGTGGGCCAAGGAGGCATCACTGAAGATTACACAATGAAAACAAGAGAGCAGATTATGCTGCATCCCCCAACAGCAAACAGCTTAAAGTTTCCCATTGGATATTTCTGTTCTCCCCCAAAGCTTCTTTTCAGCAGGCCCACCATTAGTTTGTTTGTTTGTTTGTTTTCTTTTTCCTCTCTGATCTTTTTCCCATGCAGCATTTAGTCTGACTGACTCCTCTCTCCTTCCTGAAATTTCCCTGGGAACTTCAAATGCCTCATATTTTTGTTATTAAAGCAGTTCAGCTCTGCCTTCCAAATTAACATACCCAAATCATTAGGGGGTTCAAGAAAACAAAGGCATTAGAGACAACCCCCTAATAGGACTCAAGGAGGGAGGATCTTCTGCTTCTTGTCTTAATCCTCATCCAAAAAGAATTAGGAAGTCTTATAGTAGCTATTAGGGGCAGGCGGGGTGGGGGGGGGGGGGGGGGGAGCTAACTGACAATGACAAAAACACAACAAAAAAAGAGAAAAAAGAATACAAATTTCAATCTCATCCAACTCTAAAATTATATAGAAAATCATGAGACATAAGAGGTACAAGTAAAGTATCACAAATAACGTCTGACAGGGATTATTGGGAAGGTCTCAGAGAACTTTTTTTTTCATCTTCACCCAATGATATACTCATTGATTCCAGAGAGAGAGGAAGGGAGACAGAGAGAAACATTGACATACGGGAAAGACTGATGGACTGCCTCCCAAACACACCCTGACAGGGGATCACCAAGACTTTTTGGGTTACTGGATGACGCTCCAGCCAACCAAGCCACACTGGCCAGGGTGAGTAGTCTCTTAAATCAGTCTTTTTTAATATTTTTTTCTTTGGAGTTCAAAAGAGAATTTGGGAAACACTGCATACTATATCTCTTTCTTAGAAATTTATAATGGGTTTTGAACTATTAGAGACTCTGAGAAGTGCTGAGAAATTTGTTTACCCTTGTTTTACTCAGTGCTTTCAAAAGTTGACCTTAGAATCCATTTTAATAGCCTTAAAAGCTGTAGAGTTGGGCAGGTAACACTTAACATAATAGTTCATTGGCATTAGTGTCCCCAAGAACTCCAAATTTTCCCAGCTGTTCAATTGATAAACAGCCAAGTCAGGCTGATGATGGAATTGGGCATTTAAGGAATTGAGAATAAGGAAGAGCAAGAGTTGATGGGGCTTGTGACTATGGAGAACCCACATCAGGCTATAAGAGGCACAGGAGAACGAATGAGACGACAGGTGTTGCTGATGCCTGGACATGTTAGAAGGCAAAATGCAATGATAGAGCCCCAATGGCTGACAAACAGGTTTGAGGAAGACAACCAACCTCATATTATCTGCAACGTCATTTTCTGTTCTCAAAACCTTTTCCTCACACTGTGTAGACCCAAGCTACGTGTGTCCCAGGTTGTCTTTATAGTTTTGGGAGCCTCCAAAGGTGATATACTCAAATAAGGATATTCTCCCTCGAGAATATATAATTTTAACAACTTGTTACCACGTAACAGCTACACTCCTACATGACCAAGGACTTGGTTAAGATTTAAGGCCTCTTAGTTCTGCAGTGGCCATAATTTGATCCCTTCTCTGATTGCAGTTTGTCTGCAGGAAAGAGGTAACCTTCACATACTAAATAGCAAAATGTGTTTAATTTGAGTTATAACTATAAGCACAGACTTTCTTAGCCTCCACAGCTGTACTTCAGCATTTTCACTTTAATACCTATGAGCTACAATGTCTTTTGCTTGCCTATTTAAAAATATGATTTTAATTTAATTTAATTTTATTTTATTTTTTACTTTCCTTGGTAACTGGCTAAATGCTCATGAACTAATGGATGAATAAACAAATTGTGGCATATCCATACATTGAACTGTTACTCAGCAATTAAAAAGGAATGGAATACTGTTACATGCTATAACAGGGAGGAAACTTAAAAACATTATGCTAAGTGAAAGAGGTCAGTCACAAAAGACCATATATTGTATGATTCCATTTATATGGAATCTCTACATTAGGCAAATTCATAGAATCAACAAGCAGATTAAAGATTTCCTAAGGGCTGGGGGTTTGGGGAAAAAATAACAAGTGACAATAAATGGTATGGGGTTTCTTTTTGGCACGATAATTATGTTCTAAAGTTGACTGTAATTATGATTGCAAAACCTGTGAATATATATAAAACAAATACTGTATAACACACCTTAAGTGGATGATTTGTTTGGTGTGTAAAGAAAAAAAGCAGTTAGACTTCCAAGGTTCCCCACAAGGTGGGTGACTGTCTCTCTTTTTTCACAACAGATCAAAAGTTTATTACTCTGAGAAGTTAAAAGTAAGGTTTCAAATCTTGAGGACACCAGAAACAGCTGGGATGAGGGGAACTATAATGAAATCAGGGAAAAAGGCAAAGTTTACATACTAAATGTTCAGTTGGTCCACTTTTCCAACTCAAGCTGTACCCACTGTGCTAAAGATTGGCAGATTCTTCCTGGGAAAAAAAAGGATCCTGATTCCAGGAGGTCCCCATCAGAACAGGGCAACAAGATCAGCCTAGACTGACAATCACAGTTAACAAAAACAACCAAAACAAAGAGATTCCTTTTTTTTTTTGGCTTAAACAACATGTTTATTTTTTTCACATATATATTTTATTGATTATGTTATTACAGTTGTCCCATTTTTTTCTCCCCTTTATTCCCCTCCACCTTGTACCCCCCTCCCACCAACATTCCCCCCACCCCTTAGTTCATGTCCATGGGTCGTACATATAAGTTCTTTGGCTTCCCCATTTCCTATACTATGCTTAACCTCCCCCTGTCTATTTTGTACCTGCTCTTTATGCTTCTTATTCCCTGTACCTTTTCCCCCATTCTCCCCCCACCTCTGATCTCCATTTCTATGATTCTGTTCCTGTTCTAGTTGTTTGCTTAGTTCACATTTTTTTTAGGTTCAGTTGTTGATAAGTTGTGAGTTTGTTGTCATTTTACTGTTCATAGTTTTGATCTTATTTTTCTTAGGTAAGTCCCTTTAACATTTCATATAATAAGGGCTTGGTGATGAGGAACTCCTTTAGCGTGACCTTGTCTGGGAAGCACTTTCTCTGCCCTTCCATTCTAAATACTAGCTTTGCTGGATGTAGGTCCTTGCC